GACTTGAATCACTTGATGGTGGGATAGCACCACATGTTTAATGTTCTTGTGTTCTGTGAGTTGCTTGATCAAGATTGTGCGATGAAGCTGTCTCATTTATTATGCCAAGGATGGTGAGTGGATGCTTGCAATGTGGCTTCTCTTTTAAGGATACGTTAATTAATTCCGGATCTTCGAGCAAAGAAGTTTTAGGTGAAACAAATATATCAACCGCTTCAAACGATTCACGATTCATCTCTGAATTGAGCATCACAAGTTAGTTTTTATGAAAATCTTTAAAGATTGTGTTATTATTCAGGGTATACATACAAATTAAGACTAAAATCATGAAAGGAAACAAAAAGTTGATAAAGGGCAGTCAGAATCTTAACCTTGAAGTTCTGATGTGAGATTGGAAAAAGGAGAGGCTATGATTGGTATCTCAAAAACATGACCATCTTTTTTATTTTACCAAAAGATTTCTTGGGTACAAAGTTGATTTTGACTTCTCTCTTGTCACTGTTTGTTAGGATTCACCATGAATACAAGTAGTCAAGTACAAATGAAAGTTATCTTTCCTTCAACATAACATGAATTAAAGCAGCTTTTTGCATGGAAACAAGCCCTTTTTTCTTTGTCATGGTAAGAAGTCTTCACTTCTGTGGGTCATGTTGATAAGTTTTCATTGAAATTTGTACTATATAATTATAGATCTTACTCTGAAGTGAATAATTCAAAACGTTAATATAGCTTTCTTTTTTATTCTTTCATGATCAGGGTGTTCGGATTAGTTTGTACGCATCTTGACTATTCTTCGAGACTTTAGAACTATTAGTCAGATACGAGCTCCAGTAGTCATCCTTATTAGCAGTCATAGAGATTCAAATTCGAAAGATCATGTAAACTTAAATACTCTCATGATTAAGATCTCTTTTAAGATTTATTGTTTCCAATAGGACCGGCCATGGTCCCCAAGACTTTTTGTGCAAACGGTGGATCAGATTTGAAAGGAAAAAGTCTTCTAGATTTAAGTATCAACCAAGAGAAAAATGAACCTGTAATCAGAAGTCTGGAATGCATAATTGCTGAGACTCCATAATCCATGGAAAGTTTGCCTTGTAAAGAGAAAAAAAGAAAATCTTTTGTAGTAGATTATGTGGGCCTTAACTTGCTTTCTCTGAAAACTAACTGCTAAATTGACAGATTTCACTGATTTAAAACCTCTCCAAGATTTAAACCTTGTAAATATTCAAGTACTTCAACTAAAACTAACTAGAAAAAGTAACAAGGGAAGAACTTTCTGTAAAAAGTCCCCAATCAATCACAGTCATGCACAGGATTGGATCCTAGAGAATGGAATCTAAATTTTATTCCTTACAAGAAGTTAATCTTGGAGACTTTTATTAACCATAGAAAGGAAAGTACTAGTTATAAGGTAAAATATGAATTTCTGATATCAGAATATCAGTGGGTGCGTCTGTTTTAGTATTTTATATAGTATTTTTGATATTTTTAGAGTTGGGTGGGAATAATAAGATAGGATTTGAAAATTAACAAAAATATCTTCTAGGTTTGTTAAATAACTAAACATCCTGGTAATAAAATTATTAAAAATTATAAAAACATCCCCACCCACCCATCCATTAAATTTTGGCAGCAGATCACCACTGCTGGAGGGTGGTCGGAGTCATTGTATAGGTGCACAACCGGTCAGATCCAACTAATTGTATACCGAGATGGTCTTTTTCAACCAGATCCAACGTAGATCTGGCCATGTTTGGTTGTCAACATAGCCGTCATTGACCATCAACGACGGCCATATCTTGGTTGTCATTGACGATCAACTATGGCCAACGATCTTTGGTCATGGATCTAGTCAGAAAATGATAGATCGGCGCATTGCCGGTCATATCCAGCCAGTAGTACGCCATTATATTAGATTCCAGTCATCTTTTGGCGGTGGTGGTCAGAATCTGACAAATGTGGGTTGGTGGGGGTGTTTTTGTCAATTTTCAATTTTTTTTTTTTTCTGGGAGTGTTTAGTTAAATTAATAAACTTAAAAGGGTTTAAAAGTAATTGAAGAAAATATAATAGTATTTTCAGAATAGGGGAACAAACTAGTATTTTGAAAATAGTATGAATAGGATAGTTAAAAACATTTAAACAAACTGACCGAGTACTATTTGTTCTTGTTTTGGGAAATATATGCCTTCAACTTGTTCATATAGTTACTATGAATTATGGGGGGGCCTGGTTGCCGTCTGCGGCTTTCTGAAACTAAGCTTTCAGGATACAGGCAGTCAACTAACTTGTGTTTGCAGAAATATTCAGAAGGGGCCTGACAGGAAATATAATGGAAAATTTAGCTTTCTGGTAGACATACATGTGTTGATGCATGAACTTGGATTCTTGAAGCATGTGATGCAAATGATCTCTGCTTATCCAAATTGGAACACTGGCTATATACAAGTTCTTTTTATCTTCGATAAACCTCGATAAGACGAGAAAATTTATTAACAAGAAAAAAAAAAGGTACTTAGTTAGGAATGTAACGAGCCTTATCCCTTAAGAAAAAACCAAACCCCTAATAGCGTCACTGCGTTTCAATTGGGGAAATGATTGTAAACTTTCATGGTAATTATAATGCAGCCATTTGGTTATCAACATAATAAAAACTTCAAGAAGGGGATACAAAAATGGAATTACATGTGATGTTGCACATGAAGCTTCAGGGAGGAGGAAACTTCCTCCTTCAAATGGTCGTAATCCTGATGATTTAGAGGGGAAATCATATGAACATATATAATTAGAATATACCTTAATGCCATGGCCACAAGTAGAGTTGAATACTATCTGGATTTTAGCTTATAATTGTTGAACACCATCAGAGCTAGGTCTGGTATGTGCAGTGACAAATTTTAGGTTGAGTTTTTAAAGTAGCTTTTGAAATCCAGATAATGGATGGACCACAAAATCCCCCATACAATTTGTCCGGTAATGATCATATGCAAGTACTGTTTGATTAAGAGGTTTCAGAAACTGTGCTGATAGATTATCATCAATTTCGCAGCATGTTTGCTTAGACTTTTGATGCAAAATTCAGCAATGAACAAATGAGTATTAGTATAACCATCATTGGGTGACCAAATGGTAAAAGAGTAAAAGAATCCAACATGAATTCTTGAGTTTGAGTTTCCATAGTCGTTAATATTGGTGACCACTGAGAGGATTTATCCGGTCGTTAACTTCAAGACCTCGAAAGATTAGTTGAGATGTGCACAAATTGACTCGGATACCTCCGATCAACCAAAAAAAAAAAAGAGTATTAGTATACACACAGATGCTATGCTATCGGAAAACAAAACGCCGGTGTGTGCAGAGTGTAGTTAATGAATGTGGTCACCAGCAAGAAACAGATTGATGTTTACAGGCCAAACCAAAAGTGCTTCAACTTTTACTGGGATTGATTTGAGTAACAATTCCTGTAAAAATGGCAAGTAAAATTCAGGATTGAAAGGAGCCCACACTCACATGTATGCACATGGGTTACAGAGAAAATTGACGCTCTGGACAAACCAACATGGCCTACCAGGGAAACTGAGATATCAAATTCAAGTTTTTGAGAAAAAAACTGTTGGGGGAAGATGGCTTTCAAGAGAGACAAAACCCATTTGGTGATTTTTCTTAGTGTCTACAGAGGACAAGGAAACAATCTACCGCCATAGACATTGTTACTGTCCAAAGATTTCTTGTGTCTCACTATTATTAAATTTATAGTTAATTTCGGTATGTTGTTCAAACTTTTTCAATATCTTTTCGAATATCATTTGCAAACTCGAGTTCAAAACTAGAACCCCATCAACCCATCCAATCTTACAACCTTTAGGAGCTACAATTTATGAGAGCAAATTCGTTTGCAAACTTTAGTTCTAAACTAGAACCCCGCCAACACTGCCGAATCTTACAACCTTTTAACAACTACAATCTTTGAGAGCAAATCACAGGATTGACTATTGCTTTTCGACAGTGTTTTGATATCCGGTCCGGTCCGATCGGTTAAACCGTTTCAACCGAGACCCAAGGCCTTCGTTGAGCAAGTTATCACTTTCAAATTTTCACCCTAATCCCTAGAATTATGGACATCAATCAATCAGCATAAGACAACAATTATGTTAGGGCTTTTAGAGAGAAAATGTTGATGATTCCAAAAATGGTGAAAATAGTAATTTCTGATCAATGAATCGATTGAAAAATACAAAAATCAGTCAACTAAAACAATGACCTATTGCCAGTGATTGATGAAGCAAACACGAGAGACGTGAGATTGGTTTTGGTTAAGAGGCCGAGGGGAGTGTTATCGCCGGAATAGATCCTATCTGGCCTAAGTTGTTGACGCCAACAGTGGTGTTTGAAGTGTTTTTGCGAGATTTCAAACTTGTAAACACTTATATGTAATTTTTAAAGGTATTTTTGTTGAATTTCAAACCTTTAGACGCCGATTTAACCTACCAATCAAACCGATTCAACCAGTCAATTCAAGACCCAGCCAATTTGCCAAGTTTCACACTAGGTTGATTATTAAAACATTGCTTTTCGATATTTACTAGTGTATCAACTTTATTAGTAAGACACAGTAGGAATTTGTGTTTTTATAGCTGGAAACCTTTAAAGAAGAATGAAGAAGCATGTATCTACTTTTGTTGAAGCAAACAAAGGAGGAAGAATCTGAGGGATGTCATTGGCTAATGAACCATCACATATAATGCCATTGCTGGCCATAGGCATACAAATACAAGTAACTAAAATAAATGGAAAGATCACGAGCTCATCCAGAACCAGAAGGCACACAACATATAAATTCTTTATTTCTTTTTCTTTCTCATCAATTAATTTGGTAGAGTCAGTAGGGTAAATTCTGAAGCAAGACGGTAGAAAGTTCAGGCGAAAAGCTGCGATACTATGAACCGAAGTAGCTTTGGTATCCAGAGGCAGTCTAATGGTGTCCAAAAGAGTAACAAGAAACAAGAAAATGATTTCCAATCGTCATTATAAGATCAGAGGAGAATTTGTAAAGAGTCAATTGCACCAAAAACAAATGCTGAAAAAGCCACAAGTTATAAAGGCGGAAGAGATACAACCTCATCGATTATAATAAGGAGGGTTACCCAGTGGTGATGCACCACCTGGTCGTACATTAGGCTGAGCACCTGGCTGAGTCATTGCCATACCAGTTTGTGACGAGGGTGAGGAACCAGGAGGTGTCGGTGCAGTGGCATAGGCAGGGACTGAGGATGGTGGGTATGTTTGACTGGGAAAAGTGCCAGCAACTGATACATAAGGTGGTGCTCCTGCCTGTGCAGATGGATTCCAAGATGGCACTTGTCCGCCGGGAACTTGCGGTTGCACGGCAGCTGTGGCTGCATACTCACTCCCAGGGTACATGGACGGGGCCTGAGGATTCTGCCATACAGGTTGCGCGGCAGAGACACCAGGGATCTGCTGTGCAGCAAGCAAAGTTGGGTCTTGGACAGTGTAATCTCTACTTTTATCACTGTAAGCCTACAAACAAGGAATTTGAACAAATCAATATAGTTTGTAAAGCAAATCCCCTGAACCATATGATGTAATTAAATATAACAAACCAAAAAAAACAAAGCAAGGGGGCAATTAAGTGTCAAGAAGCATACTTTTTAGGTGCCAATTGTTTTTTCGACCATGAATGAATCCACTTTTTCTTATAAGGATGTCTATATATTTTCCTCTTTTATTTTCTCATGAACATTAACTCAAAGCATATATTTATACCTTAACATTGAGATCAGTATGACGAGAGTATGATAGATGAAGCTTACAATAGCCACCATCATATATGCAGTGTCCCTCTAGAGATTCTTTTGCAAGTCCTGCGGTTGTGACATCTGGAAATAAGAAACCTAACATCAGTACAGCCTAAAAGAAGCCTCAATACAGAAGGTAAGAGCATGATATAATAAATAAGATAACATTTTCATGCCTTGAAAAATTAAAATAAGAAACCGAATATCATATACAGGATAACATCCAAATTAAGGTAAAAAGATTTTTGGTCACCAAAATAATTCCAGTTGATAAAAAGTGTTCAACTAACAACAATGCCCAGGGTCAGTCATGAAAACAAAACCCTAAGTGAGATGATAAAGGCATAACTAAAAGGAACGGTTGATAAATCCTTGACCTCAAAAAAAGGGTCTGCTCACGTTGCTCCCTCAGTCAAAGTGATGATTTGATTTTGATTAAGAGAGTTTTAAAAGCTTCAATATCAAAAATCTATGATACGAACAGACTCCCATACCTAACTTACTGTAAGTAGCAGACAATGTCATGCTTCATCTCTCTCTCTCTCTCTACTAGATGACTACTATATCCTTGTAAGAACCAGAAAAAGAAACTACAAAATAGAGAGTACGACGACACTTGTGTGAAGTGTATGAGGTTCTACTAATCTCCAAAGGGAGGGTATGAGTGGTACTTTACCTTCCAAATCTTAACTGATTACCAAACAAGCTATAAGTGAATACTTTTTAAGAGCAAAATTTTCAATGAACGATTATCACTCTCCCAAACTTGCCTTGCCTTGCTTTTGCATTGTCCAGACTAACAAAAGCAGAAATTCCGGGTCACTATCTGGCTAGCTAGAGTTACCCTTTTATGAAAGAATTCCCCAGACACTGCAATTGAACCACATAAATTTGATCACCTCCACTGAGAATCATTCAAGTTTATTAAACATGAATAACAGGGTTCTGAGAATACCATTTGTCCCAGTATACTTCAAATTTGTCCTCCTAAAATTACAATATCACAACAGATTGACAATCATCTTTTACTGCATTGGACATTTTTTTCCTTTGCTACTCAGAAATCCCCAATCTTTATAAGGAAGTCACTGAGATTAAAAATGCGAACTACGGCCTGACACTACAAATTTGGTAGTTAGTGAACCTAAGCGGCTTTAAGGATTTGAACCCGTAACCTCTTAGTTGAAACCAATGGTCCAATAGTCAATCCCAAAAATTAATTATGTCCAATAAAATGTATGATAGACTACATCAAGGCTCTTAAAAGCAAACAATGCAAACTAAGACTTTAGTCAGACTTCGTTTAGTGGTAGGCTGAGGCACTTGAAATCGCATCACCCACTAAAATCTTTTGCAGAAACTGAAACTTACCCCAGGCATTCACTTCCTTGCTACCAAAATTTAAAAGTACTGTACAAAAATACATCAATTTAAAACATCTTCTATTCTCCAGTATTTGTTTTGCCACTTCACATGAAAAGAGCATTGATGAGAGAATTTTCCACCTTTAAAAAATGGCAATATATCATCAATTCAAAGATGTAAATATTCAGTGCATAAGGATGTTTTGTCCATAAAATACATTGAATCTAGGTTTGGTGAGCTTGTGGGTTCAATTACAGTTTCTTGCATATGGAGAAGAGGTGAAGAAAAAAACCAAAACAGGAAGGAAAAAAAAGGCTAAGAAAAAAAATGCCACATATATGATCCTAATCCAAGAAAGATTCTTGAAGCAAGAAAAACTAATGGTCACAAAATGAATGAACAAATTGTAGTCAAGTTGCAACTTACATGCCAGAACTACAAAAAGAAATAGGCTTCCAAGACATCAGGTTTTTGAAGAAAAAAGGAGTTACTGTAGGAATAAGTAAAGAAATTAACACTCAGGAAGGTGACAAACCGGGATATTGAACTAGAGCCTGTGTTCCACCGTTTTTCTCAAATATAGCAATTTTCTGGACAGTGCCAAATGCAGAAAATACCTGTAACAGGTAAGCCAAATACATTGTATAAGAAAAATCAAACTAATAAATCAGTAATACATGTGAAGAAACATATATACAATTACTCACTGTATGGAGAACATCCACTGTGACAGCATACTGCATATTCTCAATTGAAGCAAGAAGTACATTACTCTCAGGTTCTTTCTTCTTTCCGTCAGGACCAACAGTAGGCTGGAGATGACAGCTTGTCAGAACACTCATTACTACAAAAATAGACCAACTGATATAAAATCAAGAGGGTACCTGCATAACACCCTCAATTGCTGTAGGATTCACAGGAAGGTAGGGATTTGTGTAGTCCCTGCAATATTCATCAAATAAAATCCATCTCTATTCATTCAAATATTATACAACATTGCTTATACATGAGCTTCAGAAACTGTATAAAGAATGGGAATACAGCCAAACCAAAATCATAAAACACATAAGTATCAATATGAATACAAATACAAGTTATTGTATAAACAAATTTAGGAAAATACATCCACACCACATATATGCACGCATGAAGAGCCAGGATGTCACTATGCGTACAGAAAATTTATGCAAGGTAGAGAAGATTCAAGAGACAAGCAATAAGGTATAAAAAATAATAGTTGAACTCTGATCACAATACAAGAAGCCACAATGCAGCATTCACTGAAATGCCACCACCACATAAAGCTTAAAAGGTTTTCACAAGCAAACTTGGTGACAGTTACAAAAAACATCAATAGAGTTTAATTTCAAATGATCAAATAAAAATACGCCTACTGATATGAGAACTTCCTTTTTTTTTTTTTTCCCCCCTTCAATAAATATGACAATATTAAGCATGATGTACAAAAATCAATTTTAGAGTTTCAAGAGAGAGATAGAAAAGTGATTGAATAAAAAAGGCTTCATGTGATACAGTTCACAATAAATATGCAAGTAACTCAGTGACAAAGACGTTAGCATAAACATTAAATTACTCTCAAAAGATTAAAGAAATTACTACTCTTCCATGACAACACATCTGTGATCTGTTTACCAAGCTTCACTAAGATCCTAGATGACAAAAACACACACATCAATTAGAAAAACCTCAGATGCCAAAAATAGACAATAAGAGTAGTGTAAAAGACTCAACGTGATGAACATGATCACACAAAAAATAACGAAACATCAGAACGTCAACCTCTTGGTTCCCTCATTACCTGCTTCGATGAGACTGAAACTTTATATTCAAATCTGTGTGCGCAGAATATGAGATACGCAAGTGGCAGGAACCAACATGTTCTGGAAGCAAGTACCTGAATTGAAAACATGAGCCCAACTTAAATATTTTATTCCAACTAAATAAATTTCAAAAGTGAATGTGGAGAAATTGTTCTAGGACAAGCAGAATCAGTGCATGCCTGGGAATACTTCTCCCATCCAATGCATTCCTTGCTGCAGATGCAGTCTCAGCATCAGTGAACTGAATTAATGCCTGCCAAGATATGTAAACTTGAGAATGAAAGCAAAAGATCAATGCAACTTCAAAACTAACAATATTCAATTCTAGATTTCTCACCTGGAAACCAGCAGCCTTCTCAAAAGTGGCTATCTTGTGCACAAAACCGAAAGCAGAAAAAACCTGAAACAAGTTTCGGATATATATGATCACATCCTAAAAAACACAAACGATAACAATGAATAGGCCACAAGGTACCACTCCAAACATTGATTCAATGTGAGAAGAAAAAAATCCAAATGGATAAGATATAAGTGCAGAATGACACCTGTACATATATGCGTCAAGATAGACCTTAGAAAGGAGTATGACGGACATGATAAAATTTCCAAACTGTCTCCAACAAAAGAATCTAAATAAGAGGCATAACCATCTGTGATTCAATTGATCTCAATCAAAATTGACATAATTTAATCAAGGTGCCAATTATGAGAAGACAAAAAAATTATTTATTCGGATGTTAAAAGTTGACGGATTAAAGGTGGAAAGCTATTAAAACAAAGATTTCTTATCAAAAAAGAGGAAAAAAATAATGCCAGTAAGAATGAAGAACATAAGGTTTTTGAAATAACCAACACAACACAGTTTTCAAACAGGCATGACTCCATCAGTCATCAGACACCAAGTTTAATCACGATATATTACATCAGTGCATCACCGTTTCCAATGTTTCATAAAAAGATGCTTTAGAAATCAACAAGAAGAGAGAGAGAGAGAGAGAGACAGAGAGAGAGAGAGAGAAGGAAAAGGAGGTTGATTAGCAATATGTATGATATCTTCCCCACTGAATTACACAGCATATAGTTTCAGGTTGACATGTGGGCAAAAACTATGAATATAAGCATTACATAGAATTCAAGCTTTGAAAGGTATTTCCAAGACCCAACGTTATGTTGTTGGTTCATAAAACATCTTGACAATCTGAAGTTAAAAATTACAATAACTAAGAGTATAAACTGTGTTAAATTCCAGACAAAACACAATAGACAACTACTGTGCTACTTGCACCATCTCAGACATCACCTTGTTTAAATACCTATCAGGCCAACATTCCTCATGAATTTGGCAGTTCTTTCATACTCTATAAAACATAGATCATGGAAACAATAAATGGACTTGTGAATGTGACATTGTCGAGCCCAAATGGGATACCTTTAAACAAAAAGCACTTACCAGGTGAATAACATCAATGCTCACATCACCAGCTTCTACACCTTCGATAGTTACTAGTAGAACATTTCCAGGAACATCTCCTGGACTCTTGTTGTTGACAATTTCATGTCTATTTGAATACTGAATATACACAGTCTTACCACGAACCTGTGCAGGTTCTGATGATGAAGCATAATATGAAACCATCGAAATGGCTTGATTTAAGTCTGCCTGCAAAAAGTTACTACTTCAATCAACTAATCAAAATAAAAAAAATTGTAAATCGCCAATATTCAACAACCCAAGAAGCAGTAGCCCTTTAATAAAAGCTTTGGTAAAACCAGACGCACTAGTGGTAGTCCAACTTACCTTGCATTCTCATTCAAGTACAAATCAACTAAACTAAGAACCAATCCCAAACTTTTGAGGTCCACTACATAAATAATCTTCCTCCATAATACCCTACACTGGGCAATAGTTTCAACAAACCGTTTAGAAGTCAGTCTCCTTGTCACTACTTTTAAGTTTTACCAGTGAAATATTTAAACTGCCCTCTCTATTTTATCCCTAGTATGTGAATTGAACGATTTTTCTGTAATGGAACACCAAATGTCAACATCGGATATGACTCAACCATCTCAGTCAACCTCCCATTTACTCATTCTCAACCGGCCCCACCTCTACATTCTCACTTATTATTTAGTCGTTCCATGTATCTCACACGTCCAGCTTACCTCCTCATTTCAATGACATGCAATTCAGGAGCAGGTCGTTCTCTACTGCCCTTGACTTCGAGGTATAATCTATTGCTACCTCATCTTTCAAGTATATTATCAAACAATAGAAAAGTAAATCTACATCGTGTTATCAATTTTGGCTTCAAAATCAAAACATACAAAATTAGCGCAACCCTTAATTCTCTAATTAATTTTACTAGAACAGCAACTGAATCAACTAACAATAGTAAAAATTACGGCATAAACATCTATTTTTACATTTTATTCCCAACTAAAGCTAATAAAAAGAAATCCAATCTTCAACGAATCTGAAACAAAGTAATTAAAGTACTTACGAATTCGACGAAGGCCTGGTTACGATTGGCGCCGACATTGCACTTGGTGTTAACGATCTTGCCGAAGGGTTTACAGAGCTCGACGAGTTCCTCTTCCGCACACTCCCAGGGGAGGTTACGGAGATGGAGGACCTTCGACGGGGTCTGAGTGTATCGGAACTGCGGCTGGCTGGAGGTTGACATCTAGATTTTGAGGATTTTTAGGGTTTGAATTGTGTTTGGTTGTCTAGAAAATTCGTGATTTTCTCGGGAAATTTTTCTCTTTCTTCGAGAAGAGGAGTCAGTTTTTGTTGGGACTTGGGTGTGGTGTGGGTTTTATCTCAATTGGAAGATTTGTTTGTTTAAACGAAGTTACTAATTTGGGCTTGTAACGAAATAGTCTCTGGCTGTCTGGCATTTAACCGATGGGGGTATTATTGGTATTATAAGTCTCTCTTTTTTAATTTTTTTTTTCCTTTTTTTACTTTTCCTTCTTTTACAATAATTGAGTTATATCAATAATGTATTAACTTGGGACAAAAACAATAATAAATGTAATATCCATAAAATTTGGGAAAATTTCGTAATTACCAGGAATCAATACGCCGTGTGTTGCACGTGTAATAGGTCCCAATAAAAGTAGAACCCAACCACCAAGCTAGGTCAAAACCCTAGAAATCAAGCAAACACAAACACAAACACAAACACAACTCAGAAGAAGAAGAAGAATTTTTGGCCCAAATCTTACACTCTCTCTTCCGTACATCGACTTCTATCGAACTCAGATTCGTTCCCTATCAATACGGTACAACATTTCTACGCTCTTCTCAATCTGTCCTCCAATTTGTTTTCTTTAATTTGGTTTACGATTTTGTTTCTTAAGAATTGGGTTGCAGTAATCCTTTGCCGTTCGGATCTACTTAATGTGAATTAAGGATTGACTTTTGTTTTCTATTTCTTTGTAAATTTTTATTATTAACTGTATGTTTGGAGTGAATTCAATTTATTGAAGTTTATTTCAGTTTTAGATTTTCGGTTAAATGTTGTTGACGCTTTTAGTTTCTATATGTTTTTTAAAAAGGATATAGACGATAATTTTTGGGTAAAGTGATGTTTTTTCATTGTATTTGGATGGTTTATTGTATTGGTTTTTTTAACTGTTTAGGTTTTGATTTCTATCAGATATAAATTTGCCTTTGTGTAATGGCGGGTCAGAGGAATAGTTATGGGAAGCGGCCCCATTCGCAGTCTGACCATTCGGACAGTGGTTCTAATAAGAGGAGATATTCAGGCGATGATAGAGATCAATTCGTGATTGGTTCAGATGATACTGTGTACCGATACTTGTGTCCGATTAGAAAGATCGGGAGCATCATTGGAAGGGGTGGGGAGATTGTCAAGCAATTAAGAGTAGACACTAAATCGAAGATAAGGATTGGGGAAACGGTTCCAGGGTCTGAGGAACGTGTTGTTACTATTTATAGTGCTAGTGAGGAGACTAATTCCCTTGAAGATGGTGGCAAATTAGTGTCTTCAGCCCAAGATGCACTGTTCAGAGTGCATGACAAAGTTATTGCTGATGAGTTGCATGGTGATGAGGACTCAGAAGGTGGTCACCAAGTTACTGCTAAGCTTCTTGTACCATCTGATCAGATTGGATGTGTTATTGGGAAAGGTGGACAGATTGTTCAGAATATTCGTAGTGAAACTGGTGCTCAGATTCGCATTCTTAAGGATGACCATTTGCCTAGTTGTGCCTTGAGCTCAGATGAGCTTGTGCAGGTATGCTCAACAAAATATTATAACTTCCCTTGTTCTGCTAGCATTTAAACTATATAACAGATGCCTGTGCTTTTTGTCCTTGGTTTTCGGAATTTGATCTCTTGCAAGTGTGTAGAATATACTGTTGCTTCTATGACTCATGGAAAGCATAACGAGCATTATGTGGTTTCTGACTAGCTTCGTTCAAGAAGCTATCTCATTGTCTACCACTAGATGGTATCAGGAGAACATAGGTCATATTATAGTATTACTTGTTGATGTTTTGTTATTATTGCTTTATGGTGTGGTGGGGTTGTTCGTATTTTTGTCCTCTATTAAGCTTGCATTTCTTGGATTTTGATCTGTTTTCATGAAGTGGTTTTTATACTTTTAACATTTTGGCCTTTGCTAATTGAAGTCTTTGAATGCCTGTACTTATGTGGCAAATTTACCCATATCCAAGAAAATAAATAAAAAATGAAGGAGCCTATCACTTTTTTCATACCTTGTTGGCTTAGGCTTCCAACTGAACTTACCTAATGCCTTTTCTGTTGGTGTACAGATATCTGGGGAAGCTGCAGTTGTGAAAAAAGCTCTGTACCAAATTGCTTCTCGCTTGCATGAAAATCCATCACGGACTCAACACTTGCTTGCTTCTGCTGTCTCCAATGTGTATTCTTCTAGCAGTTCACTCATGGGTCCAACTGCTGCCGGCCCAATTGTGGGAATAGCTCCATTGATGGGTCATTATGGAGGATATAAAGGTGACACCTCTGGTGACTGGTCGCGCTCCTTATACTCTGCTCCGAGGGATGAGATGTCTTCAAAAGAATTTTCCCTTCGGTTGGTTTGTCCTACTGCTAATATTGGAGGTGTGATTGGCAAGGGTGGTGCTATAATCAATCAGATTAGGCAGGAATCGGGGGCATCTATCAAAGTTGATAGTTCAGCAACTGAAGGAGATGATTGCTTAATATCTATTTCGTCTAAGGAGGTTGAATTTTAACGTTTTTCTGTACTATACTTAGAATTGATAAATGTGAAGTATCTTTCTGTGTAGTGCTGATCATATTATAATTTTACACTGTTCCAGTATTTCGAGGACACATACTCGCCAAGCATAGAAGCAGTTGTGCGGCTGCAACCCAGATGCAGTGAGAAGATTGAGAGAGATTCAGGATTAATCTCATTCACTACCCGCCTACTAGTTCCTACCTCACGAATTGGCTGCCTTATTGGTAAAGGAGGAGCAATTATAACTGAGATGAGGAGACTGACTAAAGCAAATATTCGCATCCTTCCTAAGGATAGCCTTCCAAAAATTGCATCTGAGGATGATGAGATGGTGCAGGTAGATATTGTGGGCTTTGCTTATACATGTATTCTTATTCCCTATCATGCATATTTGTAGCTGCTCGGTATCTAATATTTAATGGTAACTATTCATTGCAACTGTTGATGATCAGATATCTGGAGACCTTGATCTTGCCAAGGATGCTCTCGTACAAGTAACTACGCGGTTAAGAGCTAATCTTTTTGATAGGGAAGGTGCAGTTTCTACATTTTTGCCAGTGTTGCCATATCTTTCTATGTCTGAAAATGGCTCAGACAGTTTAAACTATGAAAGTAGAGAAAGCAAAAGGCATGTGCGTGGGCATCCTTACTCTGGTGGCTATGGTTCAAGTGATTTGGGGGCTGCTGATAGATATGGAAGTTATGGTGGTTCACAGGTATTTTAGTTACTACTATTATTTTTACTTGCTCTGTCTGATTTCAAATTTCTTTAGCACAGATATTTTCTTTCTTCTTTTTTCTTTAAATTGTTGCTATGTTCTAGTAATCTCTTCCTGAATTAGATTTATAACTGTACGTACATTCGCCCTGCTCTATAGACTTCATACATTCACCCTGCTGTGTGGAAAATTAATTGTTTCAAAACCCATTAACTATTTGCTTTACAATAATCTTCTGTATTTTATGTAGATTGGTGGTAGTGGAAGTTCTTATGGAGCTTATGGAAGTTATTCTTCAGAACGTAGTGGTGCTTCTGGGTAAGAATTACTTTTTCTTTTGTGTCTCTCTTTACTGTCCCTATGTCATGGGTATTGTTTCTTTATTATCAATTAATTGGTTCTTATCCTGGAATACAGTCTAGTGATGCTCTAGGGTTACAGATGGTGCAAATCCTTGGGTTGAGCATGAATTATGAGAGTTTTTCTTTGCATGCCTTGGATTTTATCCTAGTGTCTCTATTTAGATTCTCCAATTTGTGTGCTCCGGAGTTTCTAGTTTTAGCTTTCTTTGATATGGTCATTTTATTGTTTTGCTGCTTTATAACCCAAGAGTCCTCATTATTAGCTTCTGTTACCAGGTTATCCAGCCATACCCCTGTTTCTCGGCGCAAAAGCTATTACTAGAATCCAGTGATGTCCATGCAGGTAGTTTGTGGTTTTCCCTTATACCCTCTTAATTGATATAATTGACAGAATCCTTTTGTTATAGGCCAGTCACATACTAGTATATGACAGTTTGATATCATACCTATCCAACTCCCTATATGTAGGATTCTGATGCTCTTGTTTTCCCTTTGTTGCCTCGCCCTTCCCAATAAAACAGCTGAGATCCATGAAGCCTGAAGCCAGCCCACTGCCTCTTTTGATGAAGCCTGCCTAAACTGGAAGACCAGATGAACCAGGGTTGACATACTCATGGCCCACCCTCATGCTTGTACTTAAGACGGACTAAAATTATGTGGAAGACTTGTTTATTATCTATTGAAATTTGCCATGTCCATGACACCAAATTCACCAAGCTCTACATACTGCGTTTCCAAGAACCTATATAGCCAGCATGCCTGTGTTGCTGTGTTATTTTGTTTTTATCTTTCCCTAGTTGAAGTTTCTTTAGAAGTACAAAACCATGTTAACTCATCTTCTGGCACTTGTATTAAGTGTATCAAGTTTTGTTGATCTACCGTTTCTCAGCTACATTGTCCCAGTTTTATGGTTTTAATTGTTGTGGCATCAGTCCTTGGAAACTTAAACCAGTAATGCCAAGTTGTGAATTTTGCATGGCTAATTTGCTTGCATTGATATTTTATGCATTTTTCATCTCAATATGAAAGCAGGCATCGTTGCTGTCTTTACAATATAGCGCTCCTTCATTGTTAAGTACAGCTGCCTATGAATTGCCCTTGCTTACTACCCTGTTGGGGAGAAAAAAAAAAAGAAAGAAGGAAAAGAACATGCATAACACATGAGAGTGAATAATGAGGCTTTATGCTGATTGTTGCACACAGTTTGGCTGTGAAATTCTAATATTAGTGCAGGGGAATGACTTTTGTTAGAAAACTAATAGAAGCATGTTATCATATCATCTTTGTGCTCAAATCGTCTGTATGTGGCATTTCAGATAATTTCATTTGTGTATTTAAATTGCGTTTCAGGTTATGCCCTTTAATTTTAATTTTACATATTCTTTAGCACTTGGTTTTTCAGCCTTCTCATGTACTTTGAAGTAATTGCTAGTTTATGCAGCTTTCATAAGCATTGTTGGAACTGAGAAATTTAGGGTATGTTCGGTTATGTTTCCAAATTCTGGTTATTCAGTTTTACCTTGGAATTTGTACTATTTATGCTTGGTTAAGTTTGTCATTTTGAGTTTTTACAAAATAGGAAAATGATTGTTTTTGTTTTTGTCTCATGTTAAAAGCACTAAAAGCGGAGAATGACTACCTTTTATTTTCAGTCTTTTCCTTTTTAACAAAAATTCTCTTCATCTATGATATATAAACCCTAGATTCTCTTCCATATCTCTTTCATCTTCTACCCATAATTATGTTCATCTAAAGTTGTAGATGTCTCAAACCAGAAAAATACATCATTATAATCCTCCTCTCAGCTTTCTGAGAATTTCTGGTTCAACAAGACAACATCCCTTTTAAGTGTTCATCAAACTTGAATCCAATTAATTTCTCTTAGTTTTGTTTATTATAATTAAAGGGGAGAATGACTACCCTTTGTTTTCACTGTTTTCCTGTTTGACCAAAAATTCTCTTCATCTATGATATAAAAACACAAGATCATCATCCATTTCTCTCATCTTCAATCTGCAACCATCTCATCTTGATGTCCCGAACTCACACCAAGAAAAAAAAAAAAAAAATCATAATAATCCTTCTATCTTTTCTCCACTTTTGTTATTTTGACACATGAAACGAACTCTCCTTTTTCTAGTTTGTAAAATCCCAAAATGAAAACATAAATTGTACATATTCCAAGACTAAANAGACAACATCCCTTTTAAGTGTTCATCAAACTTGAATCCAATTAATTTCTCTTAGTTTTGTTTATTATAATTAAAGGGGAGAATGACTACCCTTTGTTTTCACTGTTTTCCTGTTTGACCAAAAATTCTCTTCATCTATGATATAAAAACACAAGATCATCATCCATTTCTCTCATCTTCAATCTGTAACCATCTCATCTTGATGTCCCGAACTCACACCAAGAAAAAAAAAAAAAAAATCATAATAATCCTTCTATCTTTTCTCCACTTTTGTTATTTTGACACATGAAACGAACTCTCCTTTTTCTAGTTTGTAAAATCCCAAAATGAAAACATAAATTGTACATATTCCAAGACTAAACTGAAAAAAGAGAATTTGAAAGCATAGCCATAGTTTCTTTGCAATTTCATTTGGGTATGGATAAGGTTTGGAGAGGTCATAGTTTCTGGGAATTTTCATATGTGTAAAGGTTTTAGGAAAGTAATATCTGCAGTTCCAGAGCCCTCATCAGAAAGGTATGTTGCATGCCATTTTTTCATGGAATACTTTTGACTAACTTCAAAGGTTGCTGAAGGTTGATCTACCAGTTTTATGGGGTAGTAAGTTGCAGGTTGGCTTCTTCAATCTTATATTTTCTGTGATTGAGAATGTTTTGCAATTGTGGCTGATTTATCACAAATGTATCTCATACGGCATATCATCTGGCAGGTTACTTAATCGGAGGAAAATTCAATTGTATCCCTTTGTTGATTCTTTACCTACTTGATATTGCCTCTACTTTGTATTTGAATTTGATTGTACAGAAGCACTGAAAAAATTTTGCCCAGAAAAGAAAGTGTATAGAAAATAGTGTTCACATTAGTATATCACTATATTGTACTTCTTTATGCATGAGTGGGTTGGAATGATATATAGATGCAGAGCAAATTTATAGCAAGTTACCATCATCAACCTTATTTATGAAGGTTTATTACTGAAGTCAGGATGAAATATAATGTTGTAACAATTAGTAATGAAATATCTCGAGAGTTAAATTTATCTTGCAGTGGGTTTGAGGGAACTTTCGAACATTTGGCAGTCTTAGATATCTTGATTTCATTGACTTGTTATTTCGATGAATCGTTTCTTCAAAAGATCGGGGTTTGTTAGGTATATTATTTGAAGTATGATAATCTAAAAAACTATTCTAAATAGGATAAGATGAGATTAAATCAAATAGTATAGGATTCTGAGAATGTGTTTTGTACATTTTTTTTAAAATATTTAGATTACTTTTTAACCCTACATTTGTTAATTTAGTTAACACGCCTTTACCTTGATCCCCTAACAATAAAAATTTATAAATTAACAAAAACATTCTCATTCACTCAAGTTATTGTTGGTAGCTGGCTATTATCGTCGGATGGCAATTGATAGTCATCAGAATAGTGCACGATCAGTTAGATCTATCCAATATTGGTTAGATTCACGGTAGATCTAGTCGGAAATGATCAGATCTATAGTTGAAATATAGTAATCGTTGACAACAGATATGGTCATCGTCAACGGTCAAATAAATTTGGTTGTTTTCAGTCAGATCTATGGTTAATGCGTCGTTCTGACAATCGGTGGCGGTTGGTGGCCAAAGGTGACTTGGATTAGTGGGGGTAATTTTTGTTAATTTATAAATTTTTATTGTGAAATGTAATTTGTTAAATGTTTTGAATTGAATAGAGTATGACTGGATTTTGGATTAAGTAATCAAATATTAAAACAAACTTGTTTTTTACTGTTTAGAACAGGGGCATATAAACGCTTATTTAGACTCATTTATCAGATTTTATGGTTGGAACAAAAAAAATTTCAGAAGAAATCAAGCGGGGCAGAAACCACATAAGCTTTTGTTGTTTTATGATTAAATAGAGTAAATTTAACCCACCTAACTCACCTCCCTCAGCAAAGACCCAAGAAGTAGTACAGCTTGAAGACAGTAAAAAAAAAAACAGTTGGGGAGCCGGAGACATAAATGAGGCAGAAGCTTTTTATATCAACTTGGGTGATGGATAGATCTTTAGGGTTAAAAGATCAACTTGGGTGATGATAGAGACATATATGTATTGATTGTTAATATATCTTGGTTTTAGCACCTATGCAAAGTCACATCCTCCACCAATGAACCCCTCAAGTATCTAACTTTCTCTGCCACAAAATTGACAGTTCTAAACGTGCCCTGTTTCAGCAAAACCAGGCACCATTTAATACTTGAATTCAATAGCTCTGCATAAATTTTTTAAAAAGAGAATAGAAAATTGAGTTATAAGCAACTATTAGAGCTTTCACTGCCAAATGGGTTTTCTACCCAATCCCCGTCTTGTTCTCTACCTGTTTCTACTTCTTGTTTTGTTAAGTTTTTCCTATGCAACTGAAGAATGTTAGGTTTCTCCTTTGGGACATTAACTTCAACTCCTCTCTCTATCTTTTATTGGTTGTGTTGCTTGATTATCTGCCACATGCCAACTCAGTTTCATATATATATATATATATATATATATATATAGAAGAGATTTATGTGGTAATTTTTTCATCATCTATGGTCTTGCATGAGGGAATGAGGTTATGTGGTGCAGCCAAGGATGACTTGCCGGCGAACTTTCATTAAGCATTACTATGTATGCATACATAATGTGTTTAGGTTGATCGGCGAGTCACCTTTGGCTATACAAATGCCTCCTTCTCTCATGCTAGATTGACGATGATAATGGTGGTGATGATAGAGACAGACCATAATAAAAATGATGTTTTAGCAACAATGAAATATGTATGTGGATAGAATTAAGAATGTTTAACTTCTTTGATAGTTTTTGCTTTCAGGTCATTTCCGTTCTTCAAATCTACTACAGGTTTTGTGCAGGTTTGTATACCATTTTGTACGTTTACTCTTTATGTTAAGCTTATTACCTAGACATGAACATGGCTAAGTTTATGTTGCTAGCTACTTTAATGGTGGTTCATTAATCAACTAATTCCTTCATGGAAGTTTAAACTATGAGACAGGATGAAGCATTATATAGATCTTGATGATTAAATAAGTTTTATTTATGTTACAAGTGTGATCATTTATTCATCTCAGCAGAAAATTAGAACATATTATTCATTATAATGAAAGAATACTTCCCTTCAATCAAATGCTTGCATGAAAATGAAATCTAGAACTGTATGAAACATAGCCTTTGTTCTTAGGAAGGAAGTTCGATTTTAATGGCCATAAGGTCAAGATTTGCATCATTTGAGCCTTATTGAAGATGTTAGGTAATGCTGATTGATCTTTTGATACAATCAATCAATGCAGAAGTTTCCATTTTTTGATATTTAATTCCTTTCTTCTTTTTGCTGTCAAATTAACTACTACTTTGTTCACATTCATAAAATTCAAACTTCATTAAAACCGTTGCCACCCCATTAATGTCACCTCTGTTTGAACATTAATACCCACACAAGAAAATTAAGTAATGATCCAGCCATGATTATTTATCAGAAAGTGAACTTCATAGATAAAATCAGACCAAACCAAACCCAGAAAGAGTTAATACAAAGAAAACTTAAAACATCTGAAGCTGCATAAAGTTACAAGATGATAAAAAACCCTAAAGAGAAATGAGACCTTCTCGAACAAGCAATCCAAACATGAGAACAAAGAGGCCAACACCGATGCATTGAGTTGGAGAAACGACAGTTTGTGAATAAGCTGATAAAGTTATGGTTGCTCCAGCTAATCCAATGAAAAGAGCATTCAAGTTTGGATTCATTTCTGCTACTCCTTTTTCTTCTTCTTCTCTTTGCCTTAATTTCTTATCAAGAAAGAATGTATATGGATGGCTGGCTGGCTGGCTGTGGCTATTGAAGAATGGTGAAAGGTTGATGATGAAATCTGTGGCCTCTTGAGAACAACTTTAAGCCAATGTTTACTGTTTAGATTACAAAGTCAACTCTTAGGGATGATGAATCTGACATTAAATATTTTGATACATCAAGTTGCTGTCATGTTGAGTTTGGTTGACTTTGGTTTGGTGATTTTTGGGTTGGGTTAGTTGAATGTGACCCAACCCATCGTTGTCACAAAGACATAACGAGAAACCCACCCATGGCTAGCTTATGGCGGTAAGGGGGGGTTGCAAATGGTCAAACCCACCATGTTGATTTGCTTGTTAGGACAAAGATAGTATATTTGTCCATTTACCTAGGGAGTCATGACGGTGTGAGTTGCTTTTGGATAGCTCATCATGAGAATTAATCGACACCGTGAGATAAGTCCTCTTGACAATTAATCGAAATACGTGTAAATTTGTTTAAACACCGTAATTATTAAAAACCAAAACCAAAAAGACATAACAAGTTATGGCTCGTACAATATATATAATATGTTAGGAATGATAATAACACTATATATAATTACTCCGATTAATTCATTCGATATGATATATAATTTTTAAATGTAACAGGCTATTACAAGTCTTAGGAGTTTAAAAATAATTATAATCTAACATCTCTTATAAAATCGAGCAACTCTAGTTCTTATGTCATGACTTTATTCGGGGAACAAATCAAGAGTATCAATTTGAGGTGGGTACGAGATATAACATAAATATTTACATTGAAAGATGATTTAATTTTCACCATTATCTCAAGGATTTGTTGATACTAGAACTTAGTCGATGTATAGAATCATAAATGAATAATTTAATAATTTCTTTATTGTTATGGGCCATAAAAGACCCAAGACAGCCCAGTTCATAAAATCATTGACCTCTCCTCCGGTCAGTTTTTCCGGATCCTATGAACTTTGAAAAAAGGAAAACAATACAAGCCTAACTAGGGATGAAAATCAAGTCGAGCTACTCGAACTCGACTCGATGTTAGTCGGATCAAGTTTGAGTTCGAATAGTTAATTGAGTCGAGTTTCATCACAGTATAACTAAACTCGATATATTAGCAAGTATTTCTAAGCTCGATAGTTAGGTTGAGAGTTTTTAAAGTAATAAGGGTCACATGTAATTTAAAAGTTATAAAATTTACAAATCCACCCCTATTAGATTAGATCGAAATTGAGTTCGAATTCGGACTCGACTAAAACTCGAAAAAAACTCGATTATATGAACTTGATTTCCAATTTTAAGTACTGAATTCGAATTAAAACTTGATTTCTCATGCTCAATCAAGCTCAAACTTAAACTCGAACTCGGTACTATAGTAATCAAGTCGAGTTCGATTTATCGACTCGATTTCACCCCTAAACCTAACCATCCGACTAAGTTCTCATGGTTCTCGTTGGCCAATTTTCATCGATTAGGGATTCAGGTTCTGGTTGGCTTTAAATAAAAAAAATGACCCTTTGTTGCTAGTAGATATGATGAGGAGTTTAGTAATGAAGAGGTGGCGAAGAGGAAAAGGAAAGACAAACGTCTCTTTAGTATGATCAATTAGAAAGTATTACTTACCTTTATAAACTAATTATACAAATTATAATGAATATGATGTTGTATAATTAGAGTAAAAATTTGAAAGGTATTTTATTCAACGTACAGTTTTAAGGTTAACAGGTATAAACACATATACCCGCTCGGCTTCCAAAGCTCTGATATCATTTACAACCACATAATATTTGTTATATCCAATCTAACAAATATTATTATAATTAATTACTAAATCCTAGTTAATTAATTGGAGAGAAAAATACATAGATTCAGTTTAACAGATTAATTCATACTTGGATATCAATCGTCTTGAATAAACATTTTTTCTTGTCTCGAGTATACAATTTAAAAGTAAATAAGAGATTGAGAGAATTTTTCAAAACTGAAAATATTATTAACTTTTCTCTTAACAGATGTACATACGCTTCTCGTTATATAGAGAAGTCCCGAACTTCGATTGAAATTGAGTCCGTGAAAAGCTATACAAAAGTCAGTCTAAAACCAATTACAAAAGTCTAAACTAGTCTGAACTAAAATAAGAAAAAGTAAAGATAACTTTGACTAACAAATTAAATAAAACCTAGAGACAACGACATTAGGTCTATATGTCTTCTATGTGTCTTACACAGAATATATTATAGACGATTAAATTTACAACATATAATAAAAAGTCAACATCCAATGCCTCTTTAAATTTGGAACGTTGAAATCTGTCGACAAAATCCTGGATGTCCACGTATTATTTTCTGTTTGTTTGATACACGTCAATGTATTACATGTTAGACGTTTTCGATTGTCCAAATCTCCAATCTCTTAGATTCGTATCAACCTTTGAAGTTATCCACTTCTATTAAGTTAGATCGAATACACCCGTGATAAAAAATATAAAAAAGAGAGAAAATTTGAAAGGTAAATTAAACAAGTTTCAATTAATGATATATAGGTTTGTTTATCAACTATAAAAAAGTATTCAATTGAGATCATTGGATTGGTCATCACAAAATCAGAAGAAATTAATAAAATAAAAAATAATTTTTTTTATATAATTAGTTTATAGTATAATGTTATTTATTAAATTCAAACAATAAATAAAATACTTTTTTGTTAATGTTTTCTTCATTTATTATTGACGCTGGTTTGTTGCCACCAAAAACCAAATACGACATGTCGTTTAAGCTAAAATCCAAACGCAAAACATTTAAAGACACTGTATCAATGTGGTAGTAGCCATTAAAGAGAGCAAGAACACAAACAAAAATCACTGAACTTGATTGATCTCACATGTTCCAAATCCTCTCCACTCTCAAGAACCGTTCCAATTACAAGATCCCCAACGTCAAACAGGTTCGTTATCTGTTTTACAAAAAGCAAAACGCTTTCAAAATCACTTCTTTTACTGGCTCTTCACTCTCACCAGCATCATCACAACTCCAAATAAACGAACCCCACATAGATTTATCTTCAATAGACTGCTCTGGTGTTGCAAAATCTGTTCTTTTGAAGTGTTCCCATTTGTTAGAGGGAAAGAAAGATATTAAGTCAGGTGCTAGTGCCTCATTAAAGGGACTGCTTTTGGATTTATCAGATGCGGTGCCTGAAACTACGCGTAAATTTTTGAGGGTTTTGGAGCTGAAACCTGAACATGTGCTTGAAATATTACTGGGTTTTCAATATGAGTGTGAAAAGGTTGGATACGAGAGGGGAAAGGTTGAGACTTTATGGGAAATTTTTAAGTGGGCTAGTGAGAAGAATAGAGGTTTTAAGCATCTTCCTAGGTCTTGTGAGGTTATGGCCTGGATGCTTATGAGGGTGGGGATGTTTAAAGAAGTTGAGTATTTGGTTTTGGCTATGGATGGTGAGGGAGTTTTGTTGAATGGAAATGAAATTTTTGGTAAATTGATTGAAGGGTGTATTAGCATTGGTGAGTTAGAAAGGGCTGTTTTGGTGTTTGAACGAATGAGGGGGCGGGGCTTAGTTCCCTCATTGTCGTGTTATCGTGTTTTTATTGATCATTTGGTTGAAATGAAGAGAACCCAATTGGCTTTTCAAGTGTGTTTGGATATGATGGAGATAGGGGTTAATTTGAGTGATGTAGAAAAGGCTTGTATTGAGAATGTTGTTAGATTACTTTGTAGAGAAGGAAAGATTCAAGAGTCGAGAAATCTTGTTCGGAAGGTTCTGGCCTTCGGGTTGGAGCCAAGTGGGTTTTTGCTTAATGAGATTGCTTGTGGATATTGTGAGAAGAAGGACTTTGAAGATTTGCTAAGTTTCTTCATCGAAATGAAGTGTGCACCGGATATTCTGACTGGCAATAAGACTGTTCATACACTCTGTTGCATCTTTGGGGTGGACAGAGCAGATTTCTTCATGCAGGAATTGGAGTGTTTAGGTTTCAGACCCGATGAAATAACCTTTGGGATATTGATTGGGTGGAGTTGTCGTGAAGGGAATTTGAGAAGTTCTTTCATTTATCTATCAGAGATTTTTTCAAGAGGCTTAAAGCCTAATGCTCGTTCTTACAGTTCTCTTATAAGTGTGCTGTTTAAAGAGGGTATGTGGAAGCATGCCAACGACATTCTTGATGAGATGGTAAATAATGGCACACATCCTACTTTATCCATTTACAGACTTCTTTTGGCCGGGTATTGTAAAGCTAGGCAATTTGATGAAGCAAGAGTGACTATCTCTGAGATGGCCAAACTTGGTTTCATTGAACTCTCTTCACTGGAGGATCCGCTTTCCAAGGCATTTGAAATTCTGGGGCTCAATCCATTGACTGTGAGATTGAGAAGGGACAATGATGTGGGATTTTCTAAAACAGAATTTTTTGATAATCTTGGGAATGGACTTTATTTAGATACAGATCAGGATGAGTTTGACAAAAGAGTAACTAAGATTCTTGAAGATTCCATGATTCCTGATTTTAACTCTCTTGTAATGGTGGAATGTGCTCATAGAAATTTAAAAGCTGCACAGCTGTTGGTAAATGAAATGGATCAGTGGGGTCAAGAACTGTCTTTGTTCGTCTTCTCAGCATTAGTGAAGGATCTGTGCGCCTCTCGTTCTCATATCAAGGCATGTACCATTCTCTTTGAGAAACTGCCGAAATTGGCTAATCAGCTAGACCATGAAACTCTTAATTTGCTTGTTCAAGCATGCTGCAAGAAGGGATTGGTCCACAATGGGAAGGTAGTCTTTTTCGGAACGCTCCAGAGAAATCTAACCATCAAGAATGAAACTTATACTGCTCTATTAACCGGTTTGTGTAAGAAAGGAATCTTGAGGGACCTCCATGATTGCTGGAATATTGCTATAAATAAGAACTGGTTACCAGGGTTGGAAGATAGTAAAAAACTTGTGGAATGTCTTTGCCATCGGAAAATGCTGAAGGAAGCACTAGTGCTTCTTGAGCACATGCTAGAGTTCTACCCTTATTTAAGGTCAGATATTTGTCATGTGTTCCTGGAGAAGCTTTGTGTTATGGGTTTTTCCACGGCTGCACATGCATTGGTGGAACAACTTTTTCAGCAGGGCTGCAACTTGGGTCAAATGGCTTATAGCCATGTCATAAAAGGATTGTGTGAGGAGAAAAAAATTTCAGTTGCCGTTAAGGTGTTGGACTCTATGTTGGCTAAGAACATGGCCCCTTGCTGGGATGTTTGTCTTATATTAATTCCTCGGTTGCTCAGAGCTGATGGATTTAATAAAGCTATTGCATTACGAGAGATTAGCTTGAAGGAGCAATCTGTGTTATCATTTTCTTTTGAAGGTGCTTTAATAAAAGGATTTTGTATGACAGGGAAGGTTGAAGAAGCATCTAGTGTATTCCAGGATATGTTATCCAAAGGGCTGCCTGCAGAAGCTGAATTATGTAATATGCTGATTGAAGGGCATTGCCAAGTTAACAACACGAGGAAGGTCAGGGAGCTACTTAGTGTCATCATAAGAAAAAAATTAAGCCTCTCAATCTCTTGTTACCGAAATTGTGTTCGCTGGATGTGTATGGAGGGTAGGGTCCCTTGGGCATTTAGCCTGAAGGAGCTCATGCTAGGACAAAACAACACTGATAACCTCGTCATCTATAACATTTTGGTTTTCTATCTTCTCTCGTCGGGGAACAAGTTTCTTGTGAATAAGGTTTTAAATGAATTGGTAGAGAATAGATTGCTGCCTGATGAAGTTACTTACAATTTTCTTGTATATGGATTTTCGAAGTGTAAAGATGTCTCAGGTTCTGTGCAGTATCTTTCTACTATGATTTCAGAGGGACTTAAACCAAGCAATCGCAGCTTAAGAACAGTTATAAGCTGCTTGTGTGATGTTGGGGAACTTGGAAAAGCATTGCAGTTGAGTCAAGAAATGATATTAAAAGGCTGGGTTCATGATTCAATCATTCAAAATTCAATTGTTGAGGGTCTTCTTTCTCGCTGGAAGCTTCAAGAAGCAGAACATTTTCTGCATAGTATTGTAGATAAAGGTCTAATCCCCAATACCATCAATTACGATAGGCTAATTAAACGCTTTTGCGGGTATGGAAGACTGAACAAGGCAGTTGATCTTTTGAACATAATGTTAAAGAAGGGAAATGTCCCCAATTCCGCTAGTTATGATTCTGTAATTCAAGGTTTCTGTACACGCAATAAACTGGACCAAGCTCTGAATTTTCATACTGAGATGTTGGCTAGGGATCTGAAGCCAAGTACGAACACATGGAACACACTTGTCCGTAGATTGTGTCAAGAAGGACATACTGCAGAAGCAGAAAAGCTCTTGATTTCAATGATTCATATAGGCGAAACTCCAACCAGGGAGATGTACTCTTGTGTAGCTAATCGGTATTGCCTGGAAAACAATCTCAAGAAGGCATCAGAGCTCATGCAAGCAATGCAACGAAGCGGTCATAGTCCGGATTTTAGCTCACACTGGTCTCTGATAAGTAACTTAAGCAATTCCAGTGACAAGGCCAGCAGCAATGACAACAGCCAAGGTTTTTTGTCAAGGCTTCTTTCTGGAAGTGGATTTTCATGGAGAAAGGACTCCAAAACCAAACTAGGTTGATACTGCAACATAATGATTGAGCTTCTTATCTTTATTAATTGATTTTTTTCATTTTTGTATTTGTGTATTACATCATATAATACTAAACAGGAAAATTGTTCCTCTAGCTAGCCAGTATAGAAAACTGATCTCTTGTAGCATGACATGTATACAACTGAAGTGAAATTTTCCTGCTGAAATAAGTATTTCATCTTTGCTTCTATAACCATTTGTTCTTTGTTTTCCTTCCTTCATTAACATTTTCATTTCCATGTAGACACTAACTAGCTCTAGTACTTAAACTTTCATGCCCCACATTGCGGAGTAGCCCTCTGTTTCTTTTCCCCAGTTGACCTCAATAATCTAGTTTACAGCTAACACACTGATTGTTTAGCCCGACTGTATTTTCAATGGGAATATAATAACTTGAAGACACACCAAATGAACTTTCTGAGCTGCACAGGCTTGATCATCAGAGTTTGAGATTTATTTACCACAGTACTTTCATATAGATGATCAATATTACAGCAGACTTGAAATTTCATGTTACTGAATTGAATTTTTTGACATGTGTGACAGCCCTCTAATCTAAGAAGCAATTTTTTTATTTTTCATGCTTGCTTTCACATCAAACAAGCTGCATCATTAGCAGAGCCTTAAATCCAGCTTTTGTCTTGAATGCTATCCTTAAGAAAAACATTTTATGTTAAATCACCCTAAAATTAGCTAGCCAGATTCAGTTTAGACTTGGTCTAACTAAATAAAAATTATCCCTTTCAGACCTAAACTCACACTTGTTTACTTTTGGGCTTCATGTAAGCATCTTTTATCCAAAAAGCATCTATTTAATTATAGGAATCCAAGCTTTACAAATTGAATGCTCATTCGTTAGCAATGTAGAATGTGACAAACTCCTAATTTTATGGACTTTTCGTCGTTGCGAGGTTGTAAGACTTGCCTACCGGGTAGTCAGTCTGCCCCGATAACAATGTCATATCATGAGTCCAATAAAGTAGATGTGTTTCAGGTGAACGATGCTTGTGTAAAACCAAAAAGTAAACCACCTCTAGAAACTTTAATTTGCTAAGGGATCGTCAAAATAGGTATGAGTCTAGGCGAGGTATACATATCACACCATTAGTAAGTTAGTCTAGTCGAATTGAATCCCATCACATACATATTTATTTCAAAAAAAAAAAGTTAATAATGATTGAACCATTAACAATATAATGTGGGATACATTTCAGTAGGGGTAAGCATGAGTAAAGGGTAGAACCGGAACCGACCCCCTTAAGGTTCGGTTCTGATTCTAGAAAACTGGAATCAGGAGTCCCCGAGTCCAGTTTCGATTCTTATAGTATTGGAACTGGGAACCGAAACCGAGGTCCGGATACCCAAGTAGGAACCGAGACTAAATTATAATTTTTGTAAACTATTATGGGTGTATTTGAAATTTTTTTTGGGGGGTATATTGTTATTTTCAAAAAGTAGGGGGGTAACGAATTTACCCTGGTACCCGGAATCGAAACCTATGTTCCAAGTTCCGATTCTAGTTTTATAGGAACAAGAATAGGTCGGTTACAATTCCAATTCTGATTCTTTCAAAAAATACAGGGTATTTAGAACCGATCACCCCTACTTTCAGATCAGTTTAGATATCAACTTTCATGAGATCACGTTCATTAAGCCGTAAATTTTGCAATGTACAGAACTTGAACCTTGTCTTTTTCTCCTTTCCTAATCTCTTTATACTCAAAACAAAAACAAGCTCCATGTGTCATTCTAGATAAACTTCTGATCCCTTTTCAGTTGGGGATAATGACTAAAGTGGATTTGGTTCAATCATAAACCAACTAAATTGCCTATTGTAAATGACACCAGCTGCCACAAAGGCAACTGCCCCATATTCAGGAAGCTCCCTGGAAGCTTCAAACTTGGTAATGGTATATACCATATCTAATGAAGAATGTTAAGGAGATTCTCCCTTCTTGCCTCTCCAAATAGAGTACAACTATGAAAGCCATTTTTTGCCAATTCGGGTTCTGTGGTTTGGTTGAATTAGAACAGCCACTAACATCAAACTTGGTGAAATATTCATAAACAATAGAGCAAGTACAGCAGGTAATCCTTAAAAAAACATAACCCCATAACTTTAGTTAGTACGGTCATGTTACAAGCACGACATTTTCCTAAATTTTGGCTAAAAATATAACCGTCCAAACATTGGCTACATGCATATAAATACCATGAAATACTCCTCCAGCATGCACATTCAAGTTTGTAACATTAAGAACTCTTGAAAACCTTCAAATATTAAGCTCAAAAATTAACTAGTTCAAGAACAAAATGAAGGGAGGTGGTGTTGAGGTTGGTGTGGCAGCCAAGGATTCAACTCAAAGAAATGGGGTGAATAGAGGGGTGTCGATACTTGACTTTATTTTGAGGCTTCTAGGGTTCATTGCAACACTAGGAAGTGCAATTGCCATGGCAACAACTAATGAATCACTTCCTTTTTTCACACAGTTTATTCGGTTCCGGGCTGAGTATGATGATCTTCCCACATTCACGTATGTTGTTTATGATCGTTGAGTTGAGTTGATTATGCTAGCTAAAATGTGATAGAAATCTGTAGACTGATCTTAGGTAACTCTCTTTTGAACAGGTTTTTTGTGATTGCTAATGCCATTGTTAGTGGCTACCTGATTCTGTCTCTCCCTTTTTCAATCATCCATATTGTGAGAAGCAAGGCTCAAAAGACTAGAATTTTGTTGATTTTCTTTGACACAGTAAGTTCACTTTAAGCTGAGTTTACTATCGTCTTCCTACCTCTAGTAAATGAATTTGCAATGTTGAAGCTTATTCAGTGTAATGTAAAATGAGTATTCCAATGATGTAGGCAATGCTTGGTCTTTTGACTGCGGGAGCCTCAGCAGCAGCAGCTATTGTATACCTAGCACACAAGGGAAACAGAAAAGCAAACTGGTTTGCCATCTGCCAACAGTTCAACTCCTTCTGCGAGCGCATTTCTGGTTCTTTGATTGGTTCTTTTGTAGGAGTCGTGTTGTTTATTCTGATAATCTTGTCGTCTGGTGTGGCGCTTTCACGACGTTGATATGTCATGCTACTTTCCAACAATGCTCTTGTGATCACTGCACTCCTCCCTGTATGTGTGTGTTTGTGTCTCTGTTGGTTTGTGTTTGCATTATTGACAGTGTATAAAACAGAGCATGACTGTGTTTATCTTTTCTGTAAAGTTGGTTTTCTTTTTTAATGTAATGAATTTGCTGGCTTCCAAGTTCATGGAGATTGATTGAATATTCTATAAACTGACAAACACTAGCACACAAGATTCACTATTCTAACTCAATAATTCAAGATCCATATAATTATCTAATCCCACTTGCATCTGCTTTCTAATAAACAATTGAAGATTTATATAGTGCAACTTTTGCATGTTCACTCTGCAGTACAAATTATGTACTGGCACAAAGTAGGAAGACATATTTTCTTGTATATCAGTGCATAGAAAAATAAATCAAATTACATAAATTATTTCAGCACGTACAAGAAAAAATTTGTGTAATGTTTAGTTACAACACTCCACCAGTGAAATTAAAGTTAATAGCATGGGAGCACTTAGGTTAACTACTTGCAACTCAACGAACTGGGTTTCTCCTATCTAATTTAGGTTTTGAATTAAGCAAATAGTGGGTGAGAGCTTTATCATCAGCTTCGACAAGGCTACGGCCAGGCTCTTTCCATACCCCACTGCCATCCATCAAATTCCTCACCTTCTCAGCCCCATCCCACTCACCTTGTGAAGCATATATGTTGGAAAGTAATACATAGTCGCCACTTTCGTCCCTCCTCAATTTGAGTAGTCTCTCGTTTGCGCGCCTCCCCAATTCAACATTTCCATGAATTTTACAAGCCCCGAGCAGAGTCCTCCAAATAATGGCATTGGGTTTGATCTTCATGTCGTCTATGAACTCAAACGTTTCATTCAATAGCCCAGCACGCCCAAGCAAGTCCACCATACACCCATAATGCCTAATATTTGGCTCAATATTGTATACATCTTGCATAAGCTTAAAATATCTCTTCCCCTCTTCCACTTTACCTGCATGACTGCAAGCAACTAAAACTCCAACAAAAGTGATCTCATTTGGCCTGACTTTCAACCTCTGCATTTCACTAAACAAAGTAATTGATTCCTCGGCATAGCCATGAAAAGCTAACCCTATAATCACTGAATTCCACGTTGAGTCGTCTTTCTCCTTCATCCCATGAAACACTTCCATTGCTCTCTCAATGCTACCACACTTACCATACATGTCTATAAGCGCATTCCCAAGTAAAACTTTTATATCCCCGGAACTCACCTCCAAAAGCGCACAATGTATCTTCTTTCCCACTTCAAGATCCCCCATGTCCGCACAAGCAGACAACAAACTCAACATAGTCACTTCATCCGGCCGTTCTCCTACAACCCTCATCTCCTCAAACATCTCCAATGCACATTTATTCAATCCACACATCACATACCCAGAAATCATAGCATTCCAAGTCACAACATCTCTTTTAGGCACCTCATCAAAAAGCGCCCTTGCTTGCGCCATTTCTCCTTGCTTTACATACCCAGTAATCATCACATTCCAAGAAACCAAGTCCTTAACCGGCATTGCATCGAAAAGACTTCTTGCCACACTTAACTCTCCTCTTCTTGCATATCCTGCAGTCAAAGCAGACCAAGCAACAACATCCCTTTCCTCAGAAGCATCAAATATACCCCTCGCGACACTCAAATCACCACAATTAGCATGAAAATAAATAAGGGTATTCCTCTCAAATTTATTAAACTCAAACCCGTGTTTAACAACCTTTCCATGAACACAAAACCCCATGTTTCTAAACAAAACCCTAGTACAGGCTTTAAGCACAAAAGAAAAAGTAAAATTATCAGGCTTTATACAACATTTCTCCATCTGGGTATATAACAAAATTGCATTTAATGGGTTTAGGCTCTGAGCTGAGCCTCGAATCATAGTGTTATACATGAAGGTATCCGGTTCAGTAATTTGAGTAAACACTTTGTGGGCATAATTCATTGCACCTGAAACAACCATAGCACTGCAAAAAATGAGCTCTCTTAAGGCTGAGGGATTCGAATTGAATCCATTGATAATCATAAATGCGTGAATTTGTTTTAAAGTCCGGAGATTT